TGGGAATCTAAAGACACATTCAACGATAGCTAAATACTTGTTCAACTACAAGCTGAAGACTATTCAGCAATAGTTGAAGCCTGTTCAGCGACAACTGAAGGCCAATCAACGATAGCTTATATCCAGTCAGCGACAACTGAAGGCCAATCAACGATAGCTTATATCCAATCAGCGACAATTGATACGTGATGCTAAAGGCTAGATGTTGATTTATGACTTAGTAAATTTTCTAAGTCTTTAGAACTTAAATTCGAAACCAAGGGGCTCATACCCTTAAAACCCTGCAAGGAAACGCGACCCCCCTTGACTCTCGTTTCATGGTGATGATAGGGGCAAAAATTGTAAGTGTGCAATCCACACCTTCTAACTTACGTATGTTTGCCCCGTCACCTTAATCAATCTCAAATAAATCACAATTACACCAAAATGTTTGAGGACACTAAAATCACCAGCATATCTTTTGTTAGGATTGAATTTTAGTGTAAAATTATATTCGTCTTGAAAATTAATATTTGTATTTTAGCATATTTGACTTTGTATGTAATTGTTGACTTTGACTAGAGGTTTATCTTTGACCTATAAATAGCATTTGTCTTCTAGTGAATTGTAAGAGAGAGAGAGAGCTCAATTGTAAAACATACGTGTACTTAGAGAAATATAATCAGTGTTGACCAGTTGACTTTTTCTCTCTACTCTTCTTATGTGTTCTTAATGCTAACATGAAGATTGCCATGGATTCATAGATGGTATTTGATTTTGAGGATTGATCATATTGTGGGACTCACATCTTTATAGTTATTTATTAATTTGTTTTATATTCCTCAATTTTTTCATTTTCCATTTTCCATTTTAAACTTTTATCATATTAACATACATAATCATATATCAACTAAAATGTATTAAAAATACATCTTTTTACAAATTAAAATCATTATAATTGTTTCATCAATACCTTAAAAATGAACCTAATATTGAATATATTTTTTGACTTAATCATATTTTTAAATATCATAAATACGTAAAAGATTTACGAATTAATTTTAATACGTACACCTTATATCTTTATATACTTAAGGTACAAAGTGATACTATATGTTCTTAATTAGTATGCGAACCTAAAAGATATAATGAGATTTTTAAGAATTTATTTAATTCAAAACAGTAATCATTCTTATTTTTTCTAAAATTATTTTCAATTTTTTATTTATGATATATTTTAATTAATAAATTATGTGATTCATATTTCTCTCGTCTTCTCACAAATTAATTTTTTTTATCAAATTATCTTCCCCTCTCTATATATGTAACCCCGAACCTAAATTACAAAATTACCTTACCGAAAGAGAAAAGAAAAGAATTGGATTATAAAAAGCCAAATTACAAAGGTACCCTTTTTCACGCATAGTTTTTATATTATATTTATAAATATATAAAAAAAATATAGAGTAAACTTTAATTTTGGTCCTTGAGATTTAATGAAATCCTTGAAAATAAGACTTGAATTTTGACAAGTCTATAAATCGTTCTTGTGGTTCTCAATTTTGCTCTGAAAATTGTCCGCAGTCATTAACTCCGTTAACAAGCTCTGCTTCAGTGAGGGGCGGTTTAGTTTTTTTTACCTGTTTTCTTACATATCCTTAAAAAATATAATATATAATTTATATAATGTTTCTTAAATTATATATTATAGTTTTTTTTTCAAATCCAAATCACTCGAATTCCAAATCTTTTCACAAGTCCAAATCCTTTAAAATCATTTTATCAAACCAAATGTCTCCTGGGGATGCGTTTGGTTCACAAAAGGGAATTTGATGGTATTGGAATCCATCAACTAAATTTGATTTTAATGAAATTTGATCACACAATTGATTGGTAAGAATTAGAATCTTTGTTTAGGGGAAGGTGGGGTGACAGCTGTAATGAAGACAATAAACCCCAACCCCTTACCCCAAACGCCCCACCCACCACACTACTTTCGCACCATAATGGTACTTTATTTTAGTAAGGCTATGTTTGACAAACTAGCTGATGACTGATAAATTAGCTGCTAGCTGATGAACAAATCATGTTTGACAAAAACTAGTTTATAAACATGTAAAATGACTAAAAATGACATCTTGAAAAATTAATCAATTACAACATTTCATAATATAATTAAAACAAATCTCTAAAAATATAATATGTTAATTAGTACCAAAAAGACAATAATGTGATATGTTGACTAAAAGAATTTCAAACTAATTATTATAAATTTTGGATTGTTAAACAAATTTTACAAAA